TCCTTCCTAAGACCCTTCACCCCTTCAACTTCCTCTCTCCCGTCGGCATCCACCCTCATGATCCATCCCTGTACCTCCTTGCAAAGGACCCATAAATTAACCTCTCCAGCTTTAACCTCTCTTTTTAAAATATTTACTTCTTTATTTTTAGGTGTAGATGGAGACAACACAGTGCCTTTATTTTTATGGGGTGCTGAGGATGGAACCCGGTCCGCCTGTGCTAGCAAGCGCTGAGCCACACCCCAGCCCTTAGTCTCTTTTGTTGAAACATCCCCACTGACAAGTGGCCTCTCGGCTCCCAGATGCCTTACCGTCTCCTGGACGCCAGCGCTACCCTCCTGAGCCCCATTTCTGCACAGGATTCTCACTGCAGACCTTGGTTCCGTTGATCCCAGCACAACGTTCACACTGAAGGGCGGGGCGGGAGAGTCAACCACACCTTGATTCCGTGGTTCTCATCCCTAAGCCAGTTACTTTGCTTCCCAAAGGCGCTTCGCAAGTCTCTTCCTCCAACCCATCCTACATACTGCCACCAGGCTCACTAAAATGCTAATTTGCATATGCCACACCACTACTGTTCAGACAGTATAAGGCATTTTTTTTTTTAATCCTGGCACTGGAGGCTCTGCAAAATTTTATTATTTTGTGAATACTCTGCTCTAATTAAATAAACGGTTACCCTTTTCCATTTGCCTAACAAATATTTATAATCTATCCCAGGTACAGTGCCAGGCCTTGGAGAAGAGTATGAGGTACAGTTAGTCCTTGCTCCTTACAGCCTAGTATTCACATTCTCCTAATACATTCTAAGTGTTTCTGCTTGAGGTAGTTTTTCTTAACAAAGAATGCCTTTCTCATCCTTTCCGCCTATTTAAGCCTGAGAGCACATCAGGTAATCCCTAGCTGTGGAAATCAGGTTTCCTTTGGAAACTAGTAGGACTAGACAGGTAACAGGCGACATCACTAAACAAGGCTTTTCACATCATGAGTGCTTACTACGTGCCAGGCATTGTGCTGAATGTTACTTCATTTTCTCTCCACGTGCTCTTGAAGTAGGTGCTATAATTGCCCTGTGACAACTAAGTTCACCCAGCAAGTAGATGATAAAACCCACATGTATTCTAACGTCCAAGATTTTAACTTACGTCACGTTCTTGATCCACTCCAGAAGAGGGTCTGTGAGTTGGGAACACACAGGTCCAGGGTGATTACGCTGTCTTAGCCGTCTCTGGCAGAACTCTGGAGTTCGCCCAAGGTCTCTTTGCAACCCTGGATTCCACAGTTATTGCTGCTTAAGTGTATCGCCACCAGCACCCGCGTTAAAAATACTCATTTGGACAACGAATTATGCTGGGAGGTATCCTTAGCGATCATGTGAGATGTTCTGAGATGATGCGAAAGGAGATGATTTGTGAAACCTTCCCTCGATCCAGGATTCCTTTTTAAGACTTGGGGAATTATTGAATTTTCACACAAAATATTGTTTCATCTTTGAAAAATGAATGTAATATTCATGCATTTAACAAATAAGGAAGTGATACAGAAATGAGAATCCTGTACTTTTTAAGAGTTGTTTAATCAGGTTTTTATTGTTTAATAAGGTTTTATAAGTTCTGTCCTAAGTGGCTACACAGGGCAGAGAGTGCATTTCAACACCGTGCACCGTGGAGCGACCCTCTCATCCTTCCGGTTGTGTAATCCTCTCTGCCACGACTCCCCTTTGAACCAGAGACAGGGAACTACACGGTGACAGGACCCAAACCGAGGACGCACCCCGAGGTCAGCCAGAGTGGAGGCGCGCTCAGCTCAGGTCTCCCACAGGAGAAGCCGTGGCTCTGGCTCGTCACGAGCCTGGTGGCCTTCCGAGGTACGCTCATGAGCAGGGGAGTGCTGTGCCTCTGCTGCCCTGGCTTTCTCCAGGAGGGGGGGGATGTTCCTGGGGCCCTGGCTATCACCATGTCCTCAACGGAGTCCAAGGTCCTAAAACGCCCCAGGCTGGCAGTGGTGACGCGCCTCTGATCCCAGAGACTTGCAGGCTGAGGGGAAGGGAGCAAGTTCAAGGCAGCCGGGCAGCTTAGTGAGACCACCTCAAAAATTCAGAAAGCAATGGGATGTGGCTCAGTAAGATTGGGGAATCATCAAATTCTCACACAGAATACCGCTTCATCTTTGAAGACTGAATGTAATATTCATGCACTTAACAAATAAGGAAGTGATACAGCAATGAGAATCCTGTACTTTTTAAGGGCTGTTTGTTCATAAGGTTTCCTGAGTTTTGTAGAGTGCACAGGTGGAGCAGGCCAGCACCCTGGTTCAAGTCCCACCACAGGGAGCACACTGATCAGACTTCTGCGGGGTAGGAACGGAGGCCGTGGGGGAGGCAGGCGATGTCAGAAGTACTGGCTACAAGGTGAGGCCCGTGCCTTTACCTACTACAGGAAAAGGAAGCAGGCACGACGGGACTTGGGGAGGAGGGTCTTAACAGTGCAGCTGCTCAACAGAGGGATGTCCAGATTGACTGTATAAATACTTAGTAGCTAAGTCCCCCGAGCACCATTTACAATGTGAAAGAGGCTCTTCCCCCTTAGATAAAAAAAATTTAGGACTTCCAATAACTTTTCATTATGCTTTTGTATAACAAGTAACTGAGGCGCGTTTTCACCTGTCCTCGGCACTCTTTTCTTCTTCTTCTTCTTTTTGGTACTGGGGACTGAACTCGGGGCCACTCGACCACTGAGCCACATCCCCACCCTTTTTTGTATTTTATTTGGAGACAGGGTCTCACTGAGTTGCTGAGTGCCTTGCTAAATTGCTGAGGCTGGCTTTGAACTCGCAATCCTCCTGCCTCAGCCTCCAGAGCTGCAGGGATGACAGGAATGCGCCACTGCACCTGGCTGCCCTTGGCATTCTTAATTCCATTTTATTTAGGATTTCCTCAAATCACTAACTACCAGGTTGAATGTTACCAGAATGTAGGTTCTGAAAACACAAAGACCTGTCTTACTTACCCCAACAAAAAGACAACAGCTGACACACAGTCGGCTCTTAATAAATGTGTTAAAGAACCTTCTGTGATGGGTCAGATGCTTTCATGGTGAGTCATACAATCCCATACAAGCAAATATCCCAATTACTCATCAGGAAACAGTGATGGATGACCTACTCTCTCTACCTCCATCATCATCTTCCAGAATCAGGACCAGCAAAACCTCCCTCTGCCGGCCCCTTAACGCAGATCATCAGACAGACACCTACCTTACCTTTTATCCCTGGGAAGGACTTGCTAAATGGCACTGCCAGTTTCCACATTTAAATGCAAATCTACAGAAGTCTGACCCTTCCAACAGGATTTATTGAATCCAAATGCCCTGGGATGATTAGGCTACTGTTAATATTATTTTTTTTAACTGGACACAACATCTTTATTTTATTTATTTTTATGTGGTGCTGAGGATCGAACCCAGGGCTTCAGACGTGCTAGGCGAGCGCTCTGCTGCTGAGCCCCAGCCCCAGCCCTAGGCTACTGTTATTAATAAAATAAATTTTATTTCTTCAGGTATAATAAAAACTCTAAAAGAGAAAATAGTCTAACGACAAAACCTTGCTCCTTGTAGTCCACTAACCACCTTCAGCTCCCAAGTTGTCCTAGAACAAGATCTCTGAGCTTTTGCCCTGGTCTCAGTCAGGTGAAAAGTGAACCCTAACATTTAATCACCTTTCTCCTATATTCAATTCAAGTAACTTTATAGGTACACTCACCCCCAAAAAAGAAAGAAAGTTCAACGCTGAATATTCGATTAAACATTAGGAAAATATGTACTATTTATCAGCTTCCTTTCTCTATCCGCCTCTTCCAACTGAAGGCTCAGCAGAACTATGGAAGAGGTAATGTTCAGTAGAATAAAAAATCCACATTTTCTTGGGTCCAAAAGGATCACATCGACCAAGTCACTGGGCTTATGTGTAAGGAAAGGGAGGGGAGTTCCCTGGAAGCCGAGTTCAGTGCTTTTCCCGACCCGAGGTCACTCTGCCAACAGCCCCTGCTGTACGTGGGGAACCACCTAAACTCTAGCGGTGTCTGTTTCTTCCTTGTCCCACCTTGCAGCAGGAGGACCCAAGGTCTGTTCCCTCCCCACCTCTCCAGGGTCAGCAGGTCTGGTCTAACTAGAAGACACAGCGTACTCGGGGCCCGGAGCCGACACCCGTGATGGCAGACACTCTGGAAGCTAAGGCAGGAGGGGTACAAGTTCAAGGCTGGCCTCAGCAATTCAGTGAGACCTTCAGCAAATAAGCTGAGACCCCGCCTCAAAATAAAAAATGAAACACACTGGATGTAGCTCAGTGGTCAAACGCCGCTGGTGCCAATCCCCGTCCTCCCCACAGGGAGGGAGGGACAACACGTAGTCTACCTTTCCTTCCCCTTTCCATTCCCCTGGTCATCAAGGCCTAGGAAACCGTCCCAGGACAAGGACAGACTCTTTCCGCGTGAGGTGTATTGTTGCAATTCCACAATGGGGGATAATAACACAAACTTTTCACCTTCTTTCCACAGCTTTATAAGCTTTGTGCCAGAAGAAACTTTTTAAAAAGTCACAGAAAGATGAGTCTAACAACAGAAAACACAACCCTGTGAGAGCTGAGAACAGAAGCTCAACGGCCGGAGTCTGGAGCAGTACCTGAGGGTCAGTCGGTACATCCCGACACCCCTCCTCACTGCCAGAGAGGACCTGCCTTTTCCCCACATTCGCACCAGTAAATTAAAAAACAGAAAGTGTGTGTGTGTGTGTGTATTTTACCACAGAACTTTTCTCCATCCTCCCACAAAACCGCAAAATAAGCAAGTCAAAAAAATTGAGAACGCCAATTTTTTTCTGGAAGAAATTTTTATTTTACACTATAAACAAGAGAGAAGAACCCAGCCAAGACGGTGAGAGGAGAGGCGGGCCGGACCCGCCTGGCTGGGTGTGAAGGAAGGACGTGAAGACAGACGGTGCCCGGCAGCAGCACACAGCGCGGCTGGGGCGGAGGCTCTGCAGACCAGGGCAGACCATGGCCGTCCAGCTCCAAGCAAGCGTTTGCCACCTTCTGCAGCCACTTCCCCCTCTTTTAACTCAACGCCCAGGGCAGTACTCACAGTCTTTGTTTCCTAAACTCAAAACCCCCTGGTCTTTGGATAGATCTCCTGCCATGGGCACGCAGAGGAGGGCAGGATATTTCCAGTAACTGGAACGACCCGACAAGACGGCACAGGTTTAGCTGGAGCTGACGGCAAGTCCTCGAAAGACAGACGCCTTGGGCTGACGGACCTACCACATGTGAGAAGTCGGGTTGTGGGCACCGAGAGCTAAGGCTAAAGACATCAGCAAGAGCCTCATTAAGGACGGTCTTGGAACTCAAGTAAGAATTCTGAATACTGTTAACAGGAGGACCACAAGTTTGAGACCAGCCTCAGTAACCTAGCAAGACCTGGCTCAAAATAAAATTTAAAAAATGGACTGGGGACGTAGCTGAGTGGCAGAGAGGCCCAGGATTAAACCCCCAGTACCCACCACACACACACACACACACAAAGGTCTGTATTTGTATTTGGATATTACATCTATATTTCAACTGGATATAGATTTGATATAGCAGATAAGGATGAATTGGTTTAAAAATATTACTGATATCCTTTTTGTTATAATACTCATTCATCAAAAATACTAAAACTGGGTGGGGCTGGGTTGTGGCTCAGTGGTAGAGCACTTGCCAAGCACACGAGAGGCCCTGGGTTCAAACCTCAGCACCACATTAAAAAAAATGAATAAAATAAAGCTATTTTTAAAAATACTAAGACTATAGTTGTCATCTTGTTGGGAAGGAATCTAATGATTTGGGAGCCTTAAAAATGGTACTTCTAGTCAGGCCTGGTGGCGCACACCTGTAATCCCAGCGGCTCAGGAAGCTGAGGCAGGAGGATCATGAGTTCAAAGCCAGCCTCAGCAAAAGCGAAGCACTAAGCAACACAATGAGACCCTGTCTCTAAGTAAAATACAAAATAGGGCTGGGATGTGGCTCCATGACTGAGTGCCCCTGAGCTCAATCCCTGGTACGAAAAAGAAAAAAAAAGGATTTCTTACCAGGGCGTGATGGCACACACTCCTGTTATCCCAGTTACTCAGGAGGTTAAAGTAGGAGGATTGGAAGTTCGAGGACAGCCTGGGCCACTTGTCAAAACCCTGCCTCAGAAACAAAACAAAAAAAGAGCTGGGGATGTGGCTCATGGTGGAGCACTCTAGCCTGTGCAAGGCCCCCATGGCTCCCACTCCACTTGTGTGGGTACCGTCCAAGCATAACTTGCCAGCAAAACACAGAAAGTCGTATGTTTAAAAAACCTTCAAGGTGGACGCCTACGATTCCTCATCTGTGACAGGCACAGGAGTGTGTCCTCATAATGTCTTTAGGGTCCATCAAGGGCTATATTCTGGTTCTGGAAAGTATCTCCAGCTTCATACAGTGTCTTCTTTGTACGTACGTACACACACACACACACACACACAAATGACAAGAGAAATCATTCATGATGGACGAATGAGAAAGCAATCGGTTTTCCCTGCATGGAATTCAAAGGCTAGGCCAGTCAACATGAATATAAAAGCCTCCAGTTCACACTAAGGGTTCACGTCCTAAAATTAATAAAGGTCCTTTTAAGGGAAAATTATTTCAATAAAATGTGTGATACTTAAAAAGGGAGAAAAATAAAAATAAAATTGCAACAGTTTTCTCTTTGACAATTAGTAAAAAATGTTGATTAGAGCAACTGATTCAATCATCTCTTATTTGGTTCTTTTTTTTTGGGGGGGGGTACTAGGGACTGAACTCAGGGGCACTAGACCCCTGAGCCACATCCCCAGGCCTGTTTTGTATTTTATTTAGAGACAGGGTCTCACTGAGTGCTTAGTGCCTTGCTTTTGCTGAGGCTGGCTCTGAACTCACGATCCTCTTGCCTCAGCCTCCTGAGCCATGGCGATTACAGGTGT